ATGATGCCATGTATAGGGTGAATTTGTTGTAGGATTTGCAGTTCCTAATACTGTCCAAATGGGTGGTGGATTAAGTAAATTACATGATGAACCATCGTAATGGAATTCTCTGGTTGGATATTGATGATAATCTGTAGTTGATTTTAAAGATGATGATGATGATAAATTACGTAGCACTCGATTAATGGAAGATACCTAACAAAAAAAGTCAACGATGAAAATAAAATCAAAACGAAAGATTTTATTTGAAATTTACACTCGGCAAATTATCTTGTGTACAAACACCATCATTAAGAAGACGTTCACGAATTTCCCAAGCAAATATTGATGGGTTTTCGGCTTTAATTTCTGCAATTTTTGCTACGACATCTAATTAAATTGTTTATAGGTCTTCAAAAAATATATTAAATAAAGAAAAAAAAATAACCTGGTGTAGCAACACGTGGTTTCGAACCACCAATAGCTCTCGGTTTAACCGAGCCGGTTTCGTAGAATCGCCCCAGGATTTTTGATACACACCCGTTTGATACTATCGCATGAAAGATATAATTAAAAAAACATTTATTGGATTGTTTTCCTACCTTGTAATTTCCGTGAAATTTCGCACGGTCTTGCACCTTGTCTAGCCAGTTCAACGATTCGATGTCGTATTGTTTCTGGTAATGGCCGGCCGTTAACAAAAACTCCACCTAATTGATTAACGCCACTATGACCTAAGCAAAAACAAAAAAATTCAAATTATTTTTTCAATTGCTCAAAAGATAAAAAGAAAAAGAAAAAGAAAAATACCTTCTAAAACAATTTGATACATCAAATGAGGCATTTCATTTAATTCAATGATGGATGAAAAAAGCTCAAAAAAACTCCTCTCGTTTTTATATATACAAATACAAAATAAGAAGAAAAAAAAATTACATTTCCTTGTATTATCTCATGTAAATATGGTCAAATGGGACATTGAAAATCTGCTTTTGTCTTGAAATAGTAATTAAATCGAATCAATGATAGTATTCGTATTATCATACTACGACTGATTCCCTGGTGATAAGCTTAGAGATAGTGAAAAGACAAACTAATTTCTAAAGAGAAAGTTAATAGAGTTGTCAGCTGCAGTAGGCGATATAAGATTTCACAAAATCATCCTCTTATCAATTCTAATTCATTTGCACAAAGATAAATAGAAAATCTTATTTTTTTTTTGCTTACTTACGTTAATATGAAGATATATTCAATATGAAATAAAAAGAATCTATAAGTAGAAAAAAAAAGAATCATATACATGACACGTAGAGTTGTTCCTTTTTTTTCATTCAATGTGAAATGAATAATCAAGCACAGAGAAAGAGAGCAAATAAATACAATTCAGCGATGGATTATTCAGCAAAAGAACCACTTTACTACAATACATATACATACATCATCAGCAACTAACTATCAATAGTGTTGCACACTTGAAATGGTCTACTTAACGATCAAGTTAGTATAATTATTTCGATGCCAACGGGAGAAAATAATCATTTCAAATGATGTTCATCCGAATTTTTTAATCTACTCAAAAAAAAAAAAGAAAAGAAAAAAGGGAAAGAAAAGCAAAGAAAATTTAACGAAGCAACATGTATACACCTGTCGAATTTTGCTACTACTTTTTTTTATTCTTCATCATGTATTTTTGTCGTTTTTTTTTTCTCTCTTGCTCTTCTTCTTCTTCTTCTTCTCTAACGTTTCGTTTTCATTTGATAATGCGAATGTTGATTTGATTGGTGACAACAAATCATATCGTTTTCTAGTCAACGCGTCTGTTCGATTAAAATTCTCATTCAAAAAAAAAAGAAAAGACAAGCGAATATCAATATGATGAAAAATTAAATAAACCAATAAAATAATTTACAGAAAGCTTTTAGTATTTTTTTAAACATTTAAGTAAATGTCTAATCAAATAACATATGAACATTTTGTCATTTAGTCAGTAGTCACGATGTATGATATGCATTGCTTTATAAATATAAATTATCATCTATTTGTAAAATTCATACATGCAAAGGATGATTATCATCTAATTAAACAAACGAAGTCACCGATTTTATAGAGTTCATGTCAATTAAAGATACTTATCTTATATTTTGTTATCGTCACTCTTAGTTTGTTGAACAAACCTTTTTGGTATTTTGGAATTGACAATGATTAACAGGTCAATCGCCAGACTATATATATTCTGTTTCCTTTGAGAACATTTGGATAACCGTTTACATTGTGTTATTTTTTGTTTTTTTGTTGTTTATTATCCATAGTGATGATTGGTTATTTGTATTGATTGGTTGAAAAATTTTCTATTTCTCCAATAATCGAACGACAGTTGAAGCTTCATAATGACAAAAAAAAATCGTAATGTTCGAACAGATGAGAAAATGATAGTATCTTTTACTTATTCTTTCTATTTCTTTATCCCTATAAATCGATATGAGAGAATGACAACGTTCGCATTACGTTCGGGCGTCTGATTTTGCATATATACATACATATATTCGTTTGTATCCTCCAACTGTCCATCAAGCGGAAGATGCGCGTGCATATACCTTTACGATATTTATATAGATAATGCGTTAAGAAAAAAAAATGAGTAGATATTGAGGAATGTCTCATCATCAAATGGAACGTGCACGATTGCACATTGACTAGCCTGAAGCAGTATATGAAAAGATATATTTTGATATATATTTCATCATTGAAAAGTAAAACGAAATAAAAGAATTCTAATTTTGTTATTATAAGCTTGATTAAACATGAATTATATCCTTTTAGCGGTTTATTTTATCAAAATTTGATGGTTTTTTATGATAGAGAAATTCTTACATCTGCTTTATATAATAAGAAGTTAATTATTTTCTTGATAAATATCAAAAATAAGATATTGATGATATTGAGAAAAACACCAATTAAAGAATTTGTTCGTTTCTTTTTTTTTTTCAACATACCTCTATTGTTTAACAGAAAAGGTAACACAATCATTATAGAGAAAAGAAAAGTATTTGAATCATATATAAAACATATTCGAGTTTGAAATAACTTTTCATTTGCGATTATTTTAATTTAATTATTAACAATTAATTAGATCTGAATGATATTGAAAATATAAAAAAAACACACACACAATACATTTATTCCTACATTGGAAGGTTATTGTAACAAGGTTTTATTGTCAAATATGTTGATAATATATATTGTTTATGAAATCAAACCTGTAGGTGACATGAAAGAAAAAGAGAAATGAATGATGTACTATGATTAATGCATGTGATCGTACGTTATAAGTATTATTGTATTCATTGTGGCTAATAAGTGATATGCAATATCGAATTCATTGAAAAAATATATACGATATTGTTACTTATATGTAGACAATAAGAAACGAGTTAAATTATATATGAACATATAACGTATAAATTATTGATCGAGAAACAAATTATCAAATAGTATTTCACTTTTTGAATATATGTCCTCGATAATGACTTATTTAGGTTTTAAATTATCTTAATAAATTTATCCTAATAATTTTATATTCATTGTTTTTCAAGTTTGAAAGACATAATTTTTGTTTTATTTAAAAATGCTTTGGAAATAGTAAAAACATTTCTTGCTAATAATCGTTATGTGAATGTTTATAGTTTAGACATGAGAACAATACGATTGGTTGATCTTCAACAATCGATGATTTAAAAATAAATAAAAATTAAAACGGTTTATTTAATTTTAGCATGCAGCAGTAAATGTTAAGAACGTTGACAACCATTTTTTATGATTTTTCTGAAAGTATTGTCGTAATAATAAATAAATACAAAGCACAATAAAATAGGTGTTTCATGACTGCTTTTGATTGTCAATGGTATAAACAAAGAAATCGATAGAATTCAGTTGTATGAATGATAGATCGAATTTAATGATTTGCAACACTATATATACATAGCTATTCATTTCACAAGTGATTGCTTAAGATGAGATTTGTTTCTTCATACCTCGAAAAAGTGACACAATTTTTTTAACACGTTCAAAACAATGTAACCTATCAGCGAGTCAAGGGTAAAGAAAAGTGAATGTCTCCATTGTTTTTTCATCACATGATATATTTTTCTGTCCATAATAGAGGAATATTCAAAGTCTTTGGTAATAAGAAAAATGTCAATAAATGCTGCGTTAAGGTACTGAAATTGCATCCAAGAAGCAAAATAACCTTGTGCAAAAATTGAAAAAAATGATGTATATGGATGGCAATTTTGAATTGTCAGCAATTCAGTTTTACCTAAAGCAAATTAGACTTGGCTTATCCTATCCATAATTTGAGACAGAAAAAGCCTCATGAGTTTACTTATCCCAAGTTACATTTAGTATACATATGTGTAGTATACTTTTTACATAAATCTCAGAAGACCATTTTTTCTTCTTGAAGTCAGTTATAATCGTTGAACGCAAACTTTATTAATATTTCTTTTATGAACAAAAACTTTGAATAATCATTATATCAACGACAAAAATAAAATCCCACTGGATTAAAAAAAGTGGAGATACTCACATTATTTTTTATCGTCACGCACTAGTAGATCAGATCAATAAAATATCAACTAATATAATATTGAAATTTTTTACAGTCATATGCAAAGTAACTACTCATTGCTTTTTACTATCTACAATTTATTCAGTTGCTAGAATAATCAAGCAGCAACTGTCAAAATAAAAAAAACTCAATTTTTCAATTAGACTTGTATCTAATTATTTCAACTATGCCCATTGTATTCCCTATCAAGTAAAATTGAAAAAAAAATTTTATTCATAGAAAGAATCAATGATGATCCAAAAAGTTAGGAGAATACAGAACAAAAAAAAAGTACTAATTGGCTGAAGATATCGACTACTGATTTAATAGCATGAATTGTTCAGAAGAAAATCACAAACACAAATTTTGATTATAATAGTATTACACACGATACGAGTCTTTTTTGTTTCTTGTGTTATTCTACATCTGCAGAAGGCATATGAACAACAGCAACAGCAAATGGACTTAATGTTATTCTGCTCAACATTAATGTTACTTCACTCGCCGGTCCAAAACCTGATGCTTCATTTACAATTTGCATTCGACCACCAGTACATCCAGGTAAAAATACATCAACATCAACATATCGTTTATTAATTATTAAAACCCATCGACGACCATTTTTACCAATAAATCCTTGACTAAAGATGTTTTCTCCACTAACATCAGTTGTCTCGGTTACAACTGCTTGATCATTATCAATATCAACTGTTTCGATGAGAAGTTTTGATGTCCAATATTTAGCTGTTCCTTCACCTGTTGTCCAATTGAGCAAAGCAACACTTGGAAATTGTGGTTGAAGTTGAAGATCCGGTAGTTCTGGATAACCTATCAAATACACGCAAAAGTAGATTGATATGAAAGAAGTTATAGCACGTAGCACTAACCAACAAGTTGACTATGACCAACAACATCGATTCCTTGCCGAGATATTCTTGCCCATGCATAAGCATAGAGTGCAGCTGCAGCATTCCAATATATCATAGGAAATTGTGGTGCTCCTGGTGTATTATCGTCAGGAAGAATGATTCCTAATTCATCAATAGTTGTTCTTGTTTCTGGTGAAAGAATTTTTCGAATTTCTTCGATCTGTTCAACTTCAAATGTAAAACTATCAAGTTGACTGAAAAATGCTTCATAATCTTTTGGATTTGTTCGAGAATTTGGAGTTGCATAAAAATGATATGAGATCATATCAAGGGGTATATCGGGTGCATGATTGGAATGATTAAGAAAATATCGATACCAATCAAATTCATTATGTCCTATAACAAATATATTGATTAGAATAATCTTCGAATATCCAAAGAAAACAAACAGACCTCCTAATGCCATTCCAACATATTTCATATTGTAGTTATTTGTATGTCTTCGAATACCTTGAATAACTGCATCATATGCTCGAGTATAATATTCAACATTCATACGGTGTTCTGATTCAACTTCATTAAATATTTCTATATAATCCCAATCATATTCATAATTTGATGTGTGTTTTCGACCATATTCATCAATAAAACCACCTCGAGTATACCATGCAAAGAGACGTCCATAATAATCACCTAATGCTTGCATAGTATCATCAACTAATTCTGTACCAACTGGATATCCCCAATCTGTATATGTAGCATTATCAGGATAGATATGAGGTGTATCTTGTTTGAAAAGCCAATTTGGTTGAGTACAGAAAGAAATAATGCGTGAATGACCATCAGTAGCATCAAGAAAATCTTGTAACATTGTATCAAGATAAGTAAAGTTATAGTAAGTATTATTTTGTGGTGGATCACATTGAATTTGAATAAGTAACCGTTTCGTTGTGCCTTGACCTAAATCAAATAAAGTATTTTTTTTTTAACTTCAATTATTAATTAGTGAAAACGATTTGGAGTATAGAACAGAAGGAAGTCTGGAAAATTCGACGTGATTCAATAATATAAATTTTTCATATGTACCTTATATGATACTTTTTCTCAAGTGTATTCCTGAATTAGTATTTAGAAAGAAACGGATTTATTTATGTGCCTATTGGATGCTATAATCTTTTGAACAATGTCTGAATTTTAGTAGAATGATAATCTATATGTGGTGACTAGTAATGAAAGTATTAGAAAATTAGATTTCATTGTTTGATGAGTTCTTATGTGATGTGATTTCAACTAGAGCATAGACTCGTTATTCCTCAATTAAAAAACATACATGGATCACCAAAGAGATCACTTGTTGCTGGAACACTACATGTTTTTTGTCCGATACACACTCGTTGAATAATTTGTGAACTATTTGCTGCATGACATTTTCCTTGTTGCATTTGACCACATGCACCAATTGATGTTCCATATGATGCAAAATCAACTTTATTTATCACACCTCCATTTTGTTCACATGATAAATTTATTGAAAAATCTTCACCAACATTACCACATTGAAATAAACCTGATGGAGGATCAAGTTCAGCAACAGCTAATTTTGGATAAGGAAACCAAGCAGCATAACGAGCATATTCAGCATTGAGTTGTTTCAGACTAGCAAAGATTTGTTTGTGAACAGGTGAAAATTGTCGAGACAAAAGAGGATTAGTGACAACTTGTAAAGTTGGAATAGTATGAAGATTATAGTCATGTATAGTCCAAGATATTTGGATAAGAATAGGATCACCATTTACTTGATCATGCTGACATTTGTCGAGTTGAGATGTTTGTAAAAGATTGACAATGTCGAGAGTTAGGCAGCATAAGAAACATGTCAACAGACATCCTTTGATATTTATTGTAAAGAATGATATCTAACCTATGGTTTGCCATGTCTTTTGTTTTATGTTTGCAGTCAACAAAAGATATCGACTACCTATTTTTTTAATCTCTATGTGGTTAAAAAGAACAATGAAAACTGGTATAATAATTGGCTCGAAGCATATTTGTGGTTATATTATTACTTTCAAATTGACTTTTGTCTGTTATTCTTCAAAGTGTACTTTAAAAACGTGTATTACATAGAATTATCGGAAGAAGTTAAGATTGTGTCATGTTTTACTTACTTTAAATTGTTTAAATTGATTTAACCAGAAAAGTGAATCTGAAATTTCAATCCCACAAAATTTTGGTGTATAGTAGATTACTGGTCTAAATTGTTGGCTAACTTTCCTTCAATACCATTGTCTAAGTTAGCCAATTCTAGAGTGCTTCTCTTTCTCGTCGACAAAAATTCTGTTGAGAAATATAAGCAGAAATTTTGATGAAAATGAAATAGTCGCCAGTTAGAATTTTCGAGGTCAATTTTTGATGCTAATATACAGTGCTACATCTGAAACCATATTGAAATACAGAAAGAAAAAATATTGATCGAACACAAGGACATAATGTTTTGTTTCGTAAAATTTATCATATAAATCACACCGCGAAATTGAAAACCTTTATAATTGAAGTCTCTTCAAGAGGAATCGATGTAAACGATGCATTAGAAATCTCAGGGTCTCTATTGTGTCTAGATAATGTTTCTTCTCTCAACGTCATTTTTCGTCGGTGTCGCAGGTCATAATAAGTCTATCCCAGTAGCCACCACTTTTTCTAGAAATAAGCATCTGAAAATCATCACAGATTAAATAATTTTTATTTTTTTCTGTTTGTAGTATTATGATATGGTGTAGATATGTGACTTTCTTTTTGGTAAGACTCACAACCAAGTCATTAGTAGTTCTGCTGGTACATTTTGGATACTTAGACATTTTAAAAGCTCCGGAAGTTTCCATTGTGGTGAGGAGTTTCTTGGTGGTTTTGCAGAATTTTATGACATTTTTCAATCTCCGCCGAACTCGTCACAATAATAAAAAATATCAGCTTTCTGGTTTATTGATGAGCCACAATTAAATAAAGCGAGAATATAGATGACACTATAACTTCGACAATTTGTCCAATTTTCTGTCGAAATGAGAACAATCTTTTTGTTGTCAAGAGTCCGGCGAAAGTTGCACAACTTTTGCAAAATTCAGATGGTAAAATTTCGGTTTACTACAGTAGAAACATAGAAGCTTGATATCGAGAAGAAAAATATTTTATTACAACAAAAAAAGATTTTTTTAATTTGCAATTACACTAAATAAGAAGCAAATGTTATTCAATATGAAAGTTCCTAAAACATTGTTTCCATTTAAAATGATGTTTTCTTTCTATTAGCCAAATATCTAGCAATTTTTGGTAATTTTTCCACAGCTTCACGATTTTTTTTCACTGTTGAATATTTATTCAACAGTTGATCATCTAGTCCGAGAAGAGTTTCTATCGTATCATATACGGCAAAGTCAGCCCATGTTACGTTATCACCAACAGCCCATACTCCATTACCATATGTATTTATGAGTTTTTCAAGCCCTGTTAATTTTTCTGGTACTGTTTTAGTTTTAAATTTAGTTTGCTCTGCTTGTTTTAGCTTTTCATCGTCTGTATTAAACCATATTCGATAATAATCGTTATTAAGTTCTTGCATTGTATCAGCAACAATATCGCACTGCATTGCTTCAAGATCATTTTTCCCAACAAGGTTGAATTGTCGAGCAACATAACGTGCAATTGCAAGTGATTGAGGAAATTTTTTACCATTTAATTCTTAAAAAAAGTTTGTAAAAAAAACTAAGTTCAAATAATAAAATAAATAAATATACCTAGCACAGGAAGTTGGCCTAAAGGCATTTCACTTTTTGCTTTTGGCCATTGTTCAAAACTATAACGAACATCTCCGAATTTCTGACCAGCATGAACAAAAATCAAACGAATTGCTTCGGCACGACCTCGAGCATCAAAATAATAAAGTTTGTATTCTTCAGTTGACGATGACATTTTTTTTTATAATATTAAGGAGAAAAACTGAAGATAATGTATGAAACTGATCTGAGAGAAAATTCAAGTGAAGTAACTAAACCCACAAATCCTGTCAATATATATATCTGTGTGTGTGCACACGCCACCCTCAGATCTCTCAACGTCATCAAAAAGAATACAAGGGTTAGCGAGCAAACAGAAAAGACGTCTGACGAGAAGGCAGAGAAAGAAAAATAATCGGAAGAAAGAAAAAATCTAGAAGCTTCGATAAAATACCATATGAAACAACCCATAGAAGAAATTTTGTTTTTTTAAGTGGTCCAAAGTTGAAGAAATCTGATAATAGTTACCTCTACGATAACGATAGATAAAGGATTATAATCTGTCCACAATTCAAAATTTCAGCAAATTTCTTTCGCGCTTTTCTGACATGTTTGGATAGAACTCGTCGATTTATCACTAAAAAAGTTGTTTCAAAAATATTTCAATAGTATTTCTGCAGCGAAACTTAAGAAAAATAGGTAAAAAGAAATTTAAAAAGTCAATAAAAATAGAAACGTGTCAAAAACATCGAGTCTTTGTAGACTTAATATTTATCTGAAATCACATTTTTCTAAATATTTGTTTTACTCGCCCTATAGTAAGAAAAAAAATTAAGTAGAATTTTTGAAAATTATTATTTCATTGTTGAGAAACTCAATTTTTTCGATCCGAAAACAAAACATCATCAATACGAGCTCGTATTTAGAATCAGCAGAAAATCCTACATCGAATAAAATACTCAATACTAATTGTCATCAAGGGTGTGGGTCTTTAGAGGAAGCACAGACCAAATTATTCGAAACGAACAATGACTTCTAAATATTATGTTCGTATCACTTGTATGTGAAGTTTTCTTGATTAAAATCCTTGAATATGAACTCGTATGTATGGTGTTTTGCTGTCAAATCAAAGAAAACTCAAATCTCTCAACAATGAAATAATATTTTCTAAAAATCACACGCTATTTTTTTTTCGAACTATACGACGAGTAAAATTTAAAACAAAGATTTCGGATAAAGACTAAGGCTACTGAGACTTAATGCTTCGGGTGTATTTCTATTTTTATAGGCTTTTCTTGTTTTTTTTTAAACTTAATTTTTCTAAAACCTCTACAAAAACATTGTTAGAATATTTTTAAAACGACATTTTTAAAGATAACTTGACGAGTTCTATCCAATCATGTCGAAAAAAGTGCCAAAATAATTGCTCAAATTTTGAACTGACGGCACCGAAGAAAAAAAATATTCTAATTAAAAAAAAGTTTTTTTTTAATCCTTCTCTTTCAGGATAATACAAACATGCTAATAAAAAAAGAGAAACTTATGTTTTCTTATTTGATAATATATTTTTCAATTGATATTTTCTGGCTTCAAATAACAATGCATAATCTTCTTCGAGATTAATAGTACAGAGCACAAATCTTTGTTATTCTATATCAAAATAACATGTAATACAAAAGCCATTGCAAAAATGTCAAACTCTTAGGCCATATTGCTTACTTGTCAATCAATCAAATGTTTTTGTTTTGGGAAATAATAATATATCACCTACAAATTTTATAGCTTTCTTGGACAAATTTAAGAAGCAATAAAAATCAAAAAGCAAATATCTATAAAAAAAAATCTCTTGTATAAAGAGTTCTCTTTCCAACGGTATATTTGACAATTTCATTGTTTTACAACGATAACAAATATTTTTCTGTGATTATCTTTACTACTAAGTTGCTATATCATAATATATATTGAACAAATAGTGAAAAAAAAAGAATTGAGTTTGTATATAGTGTATAGAAATAGAGGCTCAAGTTCTTATAATAGACTCTATGTTATGGAGCTTTGTTTTTTGAATTTTTTTCACTCAAGAGCCTATATAAAATATGCTACTAACAAAGTTAGTTAGTGTTGATAGAAATTTCGGTTGACTACGTGTTGCTGTTCTGATTTTTATTAAAATTTGTTGTATATAATTTAAAATCATAAAAGCATACACATTTATCAAATAGCAAAAAGATTTTTTTTTGGAGCGGGTGGGGACGCAGTGGAGGAGAGTTGATTTTTAGTTTCTAACACTTCTCAGATTTGTTCTAGAAAAATGTGTAGTTAGAAAAATTGCTCTTTTCGACAAAAAGAAATTGCATAGTTAAGAAGTCAGATGTATGGTCTAACAGAGTTTGATATTTTTGCATTATATGTTACTGACGGTAAAGAAAAAAATAATTAAAATAATAGAAAATAAATAACAACAGTGTAACTTTTTCACTTATTGCGATCAGAAAAAGGTTAAGGAGATTTTTTCTCAGTAGACAAGGCAAAACCAAAACAGACATAATTCAATTTATAAATTACACAATAATTGAGCTGTTTATTCTTCATATGGAAGTATTAAAAAATATAGAACATATTTATACTTCATATGAACACAATATGCCAATATTATAAATAAACATTGATCTTTCGAGATTCAAATCCAATGTCATATAGCAATGAAAAAATAAAAACTTTTACTTTTATCACTTGATTTTCTCTTTCAATAAAATCTCAATAATAAATTTAATCAATCATATCTTGACTAATATTTTTTCGTTAGTATAGAAAAAGAAGATTTGTTTAGATTTTTCGTATAAATTACACATGAAAATATTATCTGTATCTTGTCAATTATAGTCGTTGTTCATATATTTGCTTTATGTGATCGTTTAAAGTTTAAATACACTTGCTGATTGTCGAATACCATTGTAAACTAATATATTATCAATGGGTACATATTGATGTGTAATTAGTTTTATTGCTTCTTGTGCACAACATCCACCAATAAAAGCTGATATAGAATGAAGTTCTGATGCACCATATCGACATAATTCTTCAAGAATATTTTCTCGTACAGGACTCTGTGGTCTATCACAATTTAATAATTGTTTTCCAACTTGCTTTAAATCATTGAAATCTATTTCAAGTTGACTTTGATTTGTATTGATTTCACTTGTTGATAAAGGAAATTCACCTGGATAACGATTAAATTTTTCATAAAATAAATCACATAGACGCAAACCAATATACCTAAAGCAAAAATACAGTCTTAATGTCGCTTTTATGGAAAAGAAAAATGTGAGAAAAAAATATATAGATAGATACAAACATCGAAAGATAAAAATGTCATTTTGCTGCAATGTTGGAATTCTATAAGTTATTACTTTGTTAAAGATAAAGAGTTCAATATATTAATTTCATTTCTAGTATTGATATCCATAAGCGTAGGTTGTATATCTCATGACTGAAATTTGAGATCGTCCTAATAGAGATCATCGATATGAAGACCGTCGAATGCCATTCGATCATCTATGTTTGTAAGTTTCGTTTTGGCAATCATTCCTTACGTTCACTCTTTATGAATATTTATTCATATATACATACTGCAGATATCATCTCAGAATATCACTGAAATGCAACAATCGAATTTCGGCGAAGACTATACTCACTCACCCAATTACCTACAGCCGCATTTTCATTTCAGTTATTGAGCGTTCTCTTTTCTATATTACACTTCATTAATATCAAACATTAGAACTTCCATGAGAGTATATATATTTCAATATTTTTATGATTCGACATTTCTATTTTCGGCATTTCTTCCTCTCCACATTAATTGCAAGGAATGAAAAACAAAAATTAGTTTCAATAAACAAACTAAATAAATAATTTACCAACAAATATCTGATTCTGAATCATCGGATGATGATTCTAATGGAATTTGTTCAATTTGTTTTTGTAATAAATCATCTTCATTTTTAATTGATGTTGTCCTCATCACATTTAAAAATGATGCATTTTTGCAATAAATATGAACAAGTTCATGTAGAGTTGCTTGTTCATTCGATGTCATTGCTGAAAATCGATTATGTTGTTTTAATAAATCAATTAAATAATTATGAATTGTTTCACAATCTTTTTTAGCTTGTTCTTGATATATTTCAACTAATTTAACATATGAACTTGTATTTGTTATCATATCAGGTACTTCACCACGAACAGGTAATAAACCATGACCTTCATTCTGTGTAAATAATTTAATTGCATTTATAATAAACCAAAACATATGAGATTGATTTGATAATTCTAAACAGGAACGATCATGAAATAAATTATTCATTATTGATGGAAGATTTGTATTAACAAGACGTGATGGAATTGTTCGTTTAGCTTCTTCAAAATTTTCTAAATGTTTATTTGAATCATTTATATCATAGGCTGAATGATGTGATAATTGTTCAAGAATTTGTTTATATTCAACTTTTTCTTGACGTGTACATGGTAAATCTGTACGATTAGTTTGATTTTGCCAACGTTGTAATGCTTTATACTGAATAATAAGTGATGGTAAATGTAAATGTTCTTCACGTATTAAATGATCAAAATCAATTGAATTACAATGATTAACAAATGATTTTAATGGTTGATCAAGACGAAGATCAGGTATTGTATCATCAGGATGAGCTTCAATAATATAATGTTCAACTGCCTGAAGTCGAATTGTACCAATAAAACTAGAATGAAAACAAAAATAAATTAAAAATAATAAGAAAAATAAATTTCTTTTTCTTTTCTTGTTTTGTTTACCCATAAGTACGAGCAACAAGTAAAGGTATTTTAAGTGTCCATAAATGATTAGCAAGTGTAACTAATGTAGTTAATGGAAGATTAGCTGTAATAACAACATTAAATTGGCAAAAATCAAATGTGTTTTGTTTAAGTAAATCATCAATTGATGGTTTATCAATAAATGTACCATGTACATCAGGATTGAGCTGTTTTAATAATTCACAAGTAACACGAGCACGTGGTTGATCAATCATAGATGGATGGACGAAAAAATTTGATCCACAATCAGCCAATGTTACTAATTGATGATCAATTATTGTAAATGATCCAAGCCCAGGTAAAACAAGAGCTTTAAGAGTTTCAGTACCTAATGCATTAGAA